GAGAAGTGTGTGTGTAGGTGTGATGTTTTCCGCGTGTGTGATAAATCTTTACGTCTCTCTTGGGTGTTGCGTTGCAGCAGACGTACACAAAGGAAACGAAACAACAAACAGGAAAACAGGAAATGCAGATGTCATCATCCCCTTCCTATCGTGATGACACTGTTATGATCAGCGTCGCACAAAGACGCAAAGATGTTGAGCACAAATCAGCCCGTGTTTATGTATGTGTGTGATTTACCAGGGCTCATTACTCAAAGATTTGATGTAAGGTCTGTTAATATTAAGTACTTTCGAATGTAGAATTATTACTTTATTAATAAATCCTTTCCCAGACTAATTTTGTTTGTTACACTACAGTAGTGTCACTCACTACTTGTTATATTTCTTTTGTTCTCACACAGTTGGTAGTTGTGCATACCATGCATCTGTCTTTTTTTTGTCAACTTACATTGTATTTCTTTAGATCGAATGATCTTTTTGCTCTAAATGAATTAATTTGATGAGCATAAATGGTTTCCAGTACTGTCTCTAATGGATTTGCAATGAACATACTGCCTTATGACAAACATTATGACTGCACATAGAATTAAGCATCAAAACTCTTTACTAGATGTTTACTAGATTTTATTGGTGATTTGAAATGTAATAAATTAATTCATATGTGCAGCATGGTGGCTCGTTGGTTAGCACTATCATCTCACAGCAAGAAGATTGCTGGTTTAGTGTTAGTGAGGCCAGCAGGGGGTGCTCAACCTGCGGTCTGTGTGGGTCCTAACGCCCCAGTATAGCGAAGGCGACTCTATACTGCTTAATGAGTGCCGTATTTTGGATAAAGCGATAAACCGTGACCCTGACTCTCTGTGGTCATTAAAAATCCCAGGATGTCCTTCGAAAAAGAGTAGGGGTCCCAGCTGGGGTAGTTGGCATTAGAGTGTGGAGTTTGCATGTTCTCCTCATGTTGGTGTGAGTTTCCTCCTGGTGCTCTGATTTCCCCCACAGTCCAAAGACATGTGCTATAGGTGAATTGGTTAACACAAAAAATTGCCGTGTGTATGATTAAGAGAGAATGCATGGGTGTTTCCCAGTACTGGGTGGAAGTGCATCCGCTGCATAAAACATATGTTGGAATAGATGGTAGTTCATTTTGCTGTGGCAGCCCCTGGTAAATAAGAAACTAAGCCGAAGGAAAATGAATGAATGGGTGAAATAAATTAATAATCAATCTTAGTGAACAGTATTGGACAGGCTGATGGTTGCTCGTAGAGCAGGGGTCACCAACCCTGGTTCTGGAGAGCTACCTTCCTGCAGAATTCAGTTCCAACCCTGATCAAACACACCTGAACCAATTAATAGTACCTAAAGCAGCACTTGACAATTACAAACAGGTGTGTTTGGTCAGGGTTGCAACTGAAATGTGCAGGAAGGTAGCTCTCCAGGAACAGGGTTGATGACCCCTGCCGTAGAGATTTGTACAATACTTGCAATCTTTGAAATGTCTGTATATATAACCTGTTTCAATCATGCAAGTGAGTTAATTGATGTGCCTCATAGTGGTTGACAATAAAAGTGCACAACTTTTTTTTTTTTTACTTTTTAAAAAATATCTATTTTAACACAAATGATACTTTACATTTAACGGCCAAAATAAACAGCAATACCTTTTATAATGAAAAAAATAAAAATATATATATATATCATAGAATTATAAAGAAAACACCAAAATATGCACACAATGGTGAACAAAGAGCACAATAGCTGCACCAAATTTGTCCGAAAGTAAAAATATATTTTTATAGGTTTTATAATAAACACTCAGCCAACTTTGCTAGTCCCAGAATTCATTGAAGAGAAAGAAAGAAAGAAATATATTATTAAACACAAATGTATTTTACAGATTTTCCTAAGAAGAAAATAAAGAGAGATCCATAGACGTTTAGAAAAAGTGATTGTTGAATAAATGACTGAGGCAAGGAAAATATTGTGGGAACAAACTATTTATAGACTGCAACTTTAATACTTTTACTAAAATATATGTTAATTCTTTAGAGCATTCATGTTTTTGTGATACAGTATTAGGACACAAATATTTATTATGGCATGGGTATGACACGAGTATTACAAGGAGAAGGTGACTTATCAGTACATTGCATTGTTGGAATTATGGATAAGGCTTTGGTAGGTAGTACAAATGTCTGTGCATCTGTGTGTGTATATGTTTTTTTGACATATCAAGGCACAAATCTGTATAATGACATGAGTATGACACCAGTATTACAAGAAATTAGTGAAATATGAAGACATAATTAATTTCTCAAAAAGCTTCTAAATCATACAATATTAGTTTTTATTTCAGGAAGTTAAACAGTACGCAGTTTGCTTTGAAGTTTGGGTTTATGAATATGGTTGAGGGTGATAGAAAATACAGTTTGTATAGTATAAACACAACGTAAACCTATGGAATGTCCCCACAATTTTTAAAAACAAACCTCTGCGCAAATGTGTGTGCGCATGATTGTTCTGCATCTATCGTCCTCTTGGAGTATGTGTGTCTACCTGTGTTCCCTTGTTAGCATGACCTTAACGTTGGTGTTTAGTTTGTGAAAATCACTCCCAGCAGCTCACACAAACGTCTTTCCTCAGTGACTCAGGTGACTGGAGCTCAGTTCCCACTGCTGCTCTATTCTGCTGCTAAATTGCCCACTGATGGATGGATAGAGTTTGATAAATGGATGGACGTCTGGATTGCTGTTGTTTCAGAGCGCTGATATATAATACAGTGCACATAAGCCAGAGAAAGGATTGTGAAGAATGACTGGAGCGCAAAACATTTTTGTCCAACAACCACATTTTACAGACTATCAAACACACTTGTCTGCTGTTTTTTTTTTTTTTTTTTTTTCTTGTTATTGTAAAGTAGATGTCAGCTGTTTGCTCAGGTTTGACCTCTTGTTCAAGGACTGGACTTTTCTGGGCTAGTTTTCAAAAGCTTCTGGTGCACAAAGGGGAAATACTTTTTTTTTTTTAAGTGGTCATTATATTCAGGTAATAACAATAATATAAATAGCCTGCTGTTTGTGTTTGGAATGGTGGTTCCAGATTTGTGTTCTAACAGCTTATGTAATATTAGTCAATAGCTGTTCTATTTTTAGTCTTTATAATGTTATGATAAGAGGTCTAAATATGATGTCATTTATTTTATTTAGTTTTTAAAATTTAGACGAATTTGTATTGTGCTTTTATAGACTTTTCAATTAAATAATGTTTTCTGTAGCGAACTAGAAATGTTAAGATTTTTGAAATATGCTTATTTTTATAGAAATAGTGTTGTGTGGAGTTCAAACTAAATTTTAAAAAGAATATTTTTATAGAAACTAAAAAAAGTAAAATGACTGTTCTGTGCTATTAATTCTTTTATTTTCCTCAGTCTTAGTCCCTTTGTCTCCCTGTTCATCAGCGGAATGAACCATCAACTTATTGAGCATATGTTTTACACAGCGGATGCCTTTCCAGCTGCAACCCAGTGCTGGGAAACAGCCACACACCCTCATTCACACAGATACACTACAGCCAATAAGTTTATTCAGTTCACCTATAGAATGAGTCTTTGGACTGTGGCCGAAACCATAGCACCCGGAGAAAACCCACGCAAACACTGGGAGAAAATGCAAACTCCTCACAGAAATGCCAACTTACCCAGCCAGAACTCGTACCAGCGATCTTCTTGCTGTGAGGCAACAGTGCTAACCACTGAGCCTCATGTCACCCTGTTCTGTGGTATATTTAAATTAATTATTTACATTTTACATTTACTCATTTCATTTATCCAAAGCAACATACAAGTGTGCATTAAAGAAACAGTTCAAATCATTTATTTACTAAATTATGATATTGTTTTTCAGTCTTAACCAATCAATCAATGAATAAAAATGATAAAAAAATGATAACTTTATTATCATAAAGTATTATTATTGTTATTAGTAGTAGTAGTGGTAGCAGTAGTAGTGTTATCATTATCATCATCATCATCACCTTATAACAATAACTTCTTATTGCCACATCATCAACATTGAAATTTGTAAAGCATAATTTTCACAACTAATTATTTAGAAATCTGACATTACTCATCAAACTTGCCACTTACACTCTTGCGACATCAGAGACTTTTTTACATTTTGTAAAGAGGGGCATAATAGGTCCCCTTTAAATGCTTCTGTTACTGTATGCATGGCTATTTCTGTTTTTTTTTTTTTTATTTTTTTTTTTATTTTGCAAAATTAGTTATGCTAATACAAGCTCGCGGGGTGCAGTAAAACCAGTAAAAAAAAAAAACAAGAAATAATCTTTATCTCAAGAACAAATCCATATCTCTTATGAATCATTCAAATATCGGTGTCTGATGTGCTGTGTGCATCAAGACTAATTAAAAAGCTTAGCTTAAATGTGTGATTTATTCATTCATTCATTCATTTATTTTTCTTTGGCTTATTCCCTTTATTCATCAGGCGTCGCCACAGCGAAATTAACCGCCAACTTATCCAGCATAGGTTTTTCAGAGCGAATGCCCTTCCAGCCGCAACCCAGTACTGCAAAACATCCATACAAACTCATACACTACGCTCAATGTAGTTTATTCAATTTACATATAACACATGTCTTTGCACTTGGGGGTGGGGTGGGGTTTGGGGGGTTGGAACCGGAGCACCCGGTTCACACACAGAACTTCACACAGAAATACCAACTGACTTGAACCAGGAAACCTTCTTGCTGTCAGGTGGCTGTGCTAACCACTGAGCCACCACTGAGTTTCACACTTCATGAATTAAATGTATTGTTTGAGTTTTTGCCAGAACAACAGTACCAGTCTGTCCAACTAGCAATAGACAGAAAAAAATTGGGAAAAAATTGGAAACGTTCATATTTTTTTGCAGTTCATTGTGATGTCTCCAGCGGTGTGGAGACAGGCTGCAGCTTTAACATGTTGACCTGTGCTGCTCTTTTAGGTGGAGTTTGAGTGGCTGAGGCAGTACTGGTTCCAGGGCCGGCGTTACGCTCGATTCTGCAGCTGGTGGACTAAACCCATGGAGCAGATGGAGAAAGATTGGAAGGAAATGGAGAGAATGGTAAGAGAGTTGGAGTGAGGCCTCCAGATTTTTCGCTCAGTTCAGCGTCTGACACACAGCTTGCCAGTCGCAGTGTTTGTTTATGAAATGTTTTGGCTAATTTGATTCTGCTTTCTGCTACCACTTGTAACCTCAGCGCTGTTTAACACATTTTACATTTATTTAAATCCGCAGTTCATGTGGTGAATGTGAAACAAGTGTGCAGGTTCTGTGTGTGGCCGTCCAGACGACAAGAATGAGGGAGGCAGACAAATATGTACATGAGAGATTAGAACATTTGAATATGTAGTTTCTTTTATGATCATTTTATGTATATATAATTGAAAAAATGAAAATCCTTATCTGGAATATTATTATTATTATTGCTGTTATTATTATTATTATTATTATTATTATTATTATTATTATTATTGTTATTATTAATATTATTATTGTTATTATTATTGTTATATTATTATTATTATTATTATTATTATTATTATTATTATTATTATTATTATTATTATTATTATTATTATTGTTATTATTATTTTTGTTATTATCATTTTTATTATTATTGTTATTATTATTATTATTATTATTTTTATTATTATTATTATTATTATTATTTATTACTTTTATTATTATTATTATTATTATTATTATAGTTATTATTACTGTTATTACAATTATTATTATTATTATTATTATAATTGTTATTATTATTATTTTTAATTACTTTTATTATTATTATTATTATTATTATTAATATTATCATTATTATTCATTCATTCATTTGCTTGTCGGCTTAGTCCCTTTATTAATCCGAGGTCGCCACAGCGGAATGAATTGCCAACTTATCCAGCAAGTTTTTACGTAATGGATGCCCTTCCAGCCGCAACCCATCTCTGGGAAACATCCACAAACACATGCACACACACTCATACACAGCGGCCAATTTAGCTTACCCAATTCACCTGTATTGCATGTCTTTGGACTGTGGGTGAAACCGGAGCACCCGGAGGAAACCCACACTAACACAGAGAGAACATACAAACTCCACACAGAAAGGCCAACTGAGCCGAGGTTCGACCCAGCGACACCCCCCCCCCATTAGCAGTTGTATTAGTTAACACGTTGTACTTTTCATCCTCATATTTTAGCTGCGGTTGCTTAATGTAAGGAATATAACACAGGTGCTGTCTTTGTGGTGTCTGGGAAAGTAACCTTGAGGTATGTACTGTAGATAAACCTATCAAATGACTTTTTCCACTGAGGTTGGGAGATGTGCAGCTTGATATTTTCCGTTGTGCATTTATAGATGGCTTAAATTAATCACATCGCTGCAGTTAAGAAATAAAATGTGATTTATTTAAACCACATAATATTGTAGCTTGTAATAATTACTGGTCAAAGTTATTTTCTGCAGCCTTTAATTCAATTAAAAAAGAAAACAAGAAGGGACAAGAAGTTGTTGTTCTCGTCATAAACCTTCTGACCGCACTTGACCTCTTTAAGCAGGTCAGCATCCAGGCTTTCAGTACTGGACACACACAGTGGTTATTTACATCTAGGCCATCACAGCTGATCAGAACTGTCTGTTTGACACGTGTTTGGTCTCTATGCCTGTGTTTGTGTTCTCAGTGCTAAAGGGTCTTTCAGTAGGGGGCACTGTTGTATCATCACAGTCTGCCTGTTTCTCACTGCCCGTTTCGCTCTTTGAGCAGTAATCACATCTAATGTGCTGCTGGGGCTAAAGACAGCCTCTTGAGTGTGTGTGAGTGTGTGTGTGTGTGTGTGTGTGTGTGTGTGTGTGTGTGTGTGTGTGTGTGTGTGTGTGTGTTTGTGTGTGTGTGTGTTTGTGTGTGTGTGAGAGAGAGAGAGAGAGAGAGAGAGAGAGAGAGAGAGAGAGAGAGAGAGAGAGAAAGAGAGAGAGAAGGGGTGAGACAGTCTCAGATGAGATACCAGTTTTCCTTCTGTTTCCAGAAACAGTTTAATAGTGCTGACATTCACCTGTGTAATAGGGTATATTTTAGTTTCTGTGTATAGCATTTAGTATATATATATATATATATATATATATATATATATTTATTTATTTATTTATTTATTTATTTATTATTATTATTTTTTTTTAGTAATTTTTTTGGTAAAATATTTATTAGTGACAAAAGTGGACACGCACAACAATAATCCAATATCGGTATAAATTATATAAATGTGTATGATTTCCCATTATCCTTTAAACAAGTTTTGCTAAGTTGTATTAAAATATTTTCAATGTAATACTTTGTGTATTATAATAATAATAATAATAATAACAAAAAATAAATAACAACAACTATTATTATTAGTATTATTTTTATTATTATTATTATATTTTTTTGTTGTTGTTTTACAAATGTTATTCAGAAGGCCGTCAGAACATTTCACAAATATAAGGACATTTTATGTTCACTGTTTTTAAAGTAGACACTATACTTACATTTACTATGCTTTTAAAGCATATTGTGTATTTTATTGTATATTGTACAATTAAGTTGCACCGAGACCATACAGTTGAAGTCTGAATTATTAATTCCCCTGTTAATCCCCCCCCAATTTCTGCTGAATGTAGAGAAGATTTCTTCAACATATTTTTAAACATAATAGTTTTTATAACTCATCTATAATAACTGATTTCTTTTATCTTTGCCATGATGACGGTAAATAATATTTGACTTGATATTTTTCAAGATACTAGTATTCTTAAAGGGCACTTTTAAGCCTTAACTAGGTTAATTAGGTTATCTAGGCAGGTTAGGGTAATTAGGCAAGGCAGGTTAGGGTAATTACGCAAGTTATAGTATAATGAGGTTTGTTCTATAGACTATCCAACAAATATATAGCTCAAAGGGGCTAATAATTTTGACCTTAAAATCTTTTTAAAAAAATTCAAAACTGCTTTTATCCTAGCTGATATAAAACTTTCTCCAGAAGACAAAATATTATTAGACTTACTTTTACCTTGCTCTGTTAAACATCATTTGGGAAATATTTCTATTATATAAATATAAATATAATAATAATAATAAAAAATTATATATATATATATATATATTATTTTACCACAAGAAAAATCTAGGAAGTTTATTTTTAATGTATCTCATTATATAATCTATTTTATTAAGCATAATAAAAGCATTTTAATCACATTTTTATTTACATTTCCTCATCGGTAATTCTTAAAATCCCACCTTTCAGAAAAAATATTCATAGATGTATATTTCAAATTGAGTGTGCATTTAGTTTAACCTGATCTAGGCGTTTATGCGTTTTATTAGTTGTACAAATATTGAATTGGTAGAATTGTTGGAGCTTGAATAAACCTCTCGTGAATGTGAAAGCGCTTTATAAAATAAATACTCATTTGAATCCCTAATATCTGATATTTTCATGGCTGATTTAAATTCGTTTAAGTATGATTTCAGCCGACAGTCATGGCATTTAACAGAGACATGTGTTTTTCTAGATTGTGGGGAATTGTCTCGTTGGCCTTCCTGCACTTTTGGTGTGTGTGTTTTTTTGTTTTTTTGCAGTCTGTGCAGGTTCGAGGTTGGCCGGTTTGTGTGTTTCTTCGTGTGTTCTCCCTTTTCCTGCTGTTTATTAAAACCGCTCCTCTCCCATGGGGGTTTCTCTCTTTACGTTTCCCTTCTTTCTCTTTTCTTGCGTCTCCCTCTTTCTCGCTCTTCAGGCTGTTGTGATGCAAATTTTCACCCCTCCATTTGAATGACATCCTGATAAAACAACTCTCTCTCTCTCTCTCTCTCTCTCTCTCTCTCTCTCTCTCTCTCTCTCTCTCTCTCTCTCTCTCTCTCTCTCTCACTCTTACTCACATACACTCTCTCTCTCTCTCTCTTCAACCTGTACCTCATGAATTAATGTGAACCGCTTAATGGAAACAACATTGGAAATATGGTGGAGAAAAGAAAAGAATGAAGAAAAGAATAATGATAGCTATTTAAATGTGCTGTGATAAGATGAGGTAAATGTTATCAAACATCAGGTCTGGGGTCCCTCTCCTCAATTTCTCTCTCTCTCACACACACACTGGGTGAACGCAGGGTCCCTAAAGAGAAGCTATCATACTCCTCATACACCACTGACATTTATTTAGGCTTTTAACAGTGACACTTTCTTTCTCTTCCTCTCTCAGTCTGTCTATCCTGGCAGAGGAGAGATAGTCGGCTATATGCAAAATATTTTAAATACCACCCAACCCTTTTTTTTGTTAGTCTATTTTTATTTATTTAAATCTGTGTCTGAAATTGAGACACAGGCCAGTTAAAGAGATAGTTAACACAAAACTATTAATTCTGTCATCATTTACTCACTTTTTTGATGTCCAAATTATTGATGAATTGCTTTCTTCAGTTTAACACAAAAGATGTTTTGAATAATGTTGGAAAACAGTAGCCATTGACTTCCATAGTTTGTGGCTACCATTTTCCAACATTTTGCAAAATGTGTTATTTTACTTTATTTTTTTTAAATCATGTTTTAATTAAATTAAGTTAAATAAATTAAATTAAATTAAATTAAATTAAATTAAATTAAATTAAATTTTATTTTATTTTATTTTATTTTATTTTATTTTATTTTATTTTATTTTATTTTATTTTATTTTATTTTATTTTATTTTATTTTTGTGTATGTTTATTTTGTGTGTTATTTTATTGTGTGTTTATTTTTATTTTGTGTATGTGTTTATATTGTGTGTGTTTATTTTATTGTGTGTTTATTTTATTTTATTGTTTGTGTTTATTTGATTTTTGTGTATGTTAATTTTTTATGTGTTTATTTTGTTTTATTGTGTGTTTATTTTATTTTAATGTTTACATATTTAATTTTTTGTGTATGTTTATTTTCTATGTGTTTATTTTATTTTGTGTGTTGTTTATTTTATTTTATTGTGTTTATTTATTGTGTATGTTTATTTTAATATATATATTTATCATTTTCTTTTCGGCTTAGTCCCTTTA